CCGGCCCGACTGACAGGAAGTGCACACTCCTTCCTATCAGTCCGGCCGGCACCGTGGACAGCGGAGCAGCTCGGCCAGCTACAGGGGAGGGGAGAATATGTGCTGCAGCCGCCTGAGGCTCTTAACAGAGCGCTCAGGCGGCTGCAGCATTTAAAGGGCCGGCCCTGCAGCGGCCGGTCCTGACAGAATTTAGGGCGGCCTGGGGGGCAATTGCCTCCCTGCCCCCCGGCCCAGCCCGCCCCTGGGCGTAATGGAGGGAGAAATCTTCAGCAGGGATAAGTGAATTAATGCTAGGTGTAAATGAAGAATGAGGAGCCAAGAGATTAATGATTAGCCGTTTTTTATTTGATGTAGCAATGGTAACAATACCGATGGGGTTGGTTCACCATGACTGGAAAGGTGAGTGGTCGAAAGGGACTAACATAAAGCCTAATTGTGTTTTCTTGGCTAATAGAGTGTCTACTGTCACTGGATCGACATAGGCTGATAACAAGTTTGGGCCTTCCAGTGTGCCAGAGGGGAGTGCAACAAGACCTGTGTGAAAACCTGCGGAAAACCCTGACACCAAGAAATCTACCAAGTGCGGTGAGGAGTGAGAGTGCAAGTGAAAGGTGAGATTATCCACATTAACCTCCATATGTCATTTCCTGGGGAACAGCTTGGAGGGGCACATGTTTTTTGCGTGAGCCCTGAAGCAAATTGAGCAGATGTGCAACAACTGGCACGCACTGTAATTGCAGGTGCCCGCGTTAAAGTTCTTGCACACCTGTGCTTTTCCCAAGAACACGATGGGTCGACCCAACTTGTCTTTCTGACCCCGGTCTTGACCCACAGAGGTGTTGAACATGAGTGCATGTGGGGGCTGTGGACATGGATGGTTCGGCTTCACAGGGGCACAAGTTGGTGGAATGTGAAGCGGATGCACAAACCGCACAAGCTGGGGGCCTTAAGCTGGCATAATGCCTGCAGAACAGCATTGTGTCCAACTCACTCCAGTTGGTTTGAACGTTCAATTGTGCGAGAGCTGCTGCTGCTTTGGCTGATACCGACTTGTGGTAATTGTAAAACGTAAAGCCCCCATACTTATGCCCCAGGTCCACCAACTTGTGTAAGTACAGGTCTAGTTATACGGAACAGATGACGTCCCTGTAAAGCCCAAAGGCAAGTACAAACTCTGGGATTGACAGTTTCTTATTTAGTCTACCACAGACAAATCCCCATAGCTGTATGTTCTATTCTCTATAACATCCTGTGAAGCAATAAGTAGTGAAACCAAGTTAACATCCTTACCATCAAGAATGTCCTTCATCATGGACGGGGGATCAAATGTGCCAGTGTGATAAGATGTGAATTTGATGGAAGTGTTAAGGAAGGGGTTGAAGTACCCTGTGTAGTAGCCACCACTGGAGCTGGATTTGTAGCTGGGATATCTATGGGGTTGCTATGTAGGTGAGCTGTTTTCAACACTGTTAGTCATTCACTAATAGCTTGCACGGGAGGCAATAAATATGCACATCCTGCCTTGCACTTCTCCCATATAGTCAAAAGTTGCACCTTGTGCGCTCGTGCTGGGCCTTGGTTCTGTGGATTGTGTATTTAACAGCCTATAAAACTCAGCCTCTCTATCAGTAGAAGGAAAGGGGATGTTCCTATGCCGTAATTCTGCAGAAAGTTTAGGGATAGTCCAGGATCTTAACGACCATGGGGAAGCCGGGGTAATTGATTCAGTAGGGTAAATTGAACAGGTGGGGGTGCTGGGCCTAGCTGGGGTTTCTGGGAAAGATAGGCCATCTTTTATGTTCGAATGCTTGAGACATGCTAGACATAAAAAAGAATAATCAATGATTTATGCAAGTTAACTCGATCTAGAACTGGCTGGCTAATTAGTGCCGTTAGGCGAAGGAATAGATTAGTAAACCACAACAAAGAGAATTCGGGATATGGCTGTGTGAATCTACAGAAAAAACATAAAACAAAACATAGTGTGATATTGTTATAAAACACAGTATTCTGTGCGCAGCAATCTTTTTCACTCACTAGATGTAGACAATAAAAGCGCTCTTAGGGTGCCTCCCCCGATTCAATGGGGGGCTTGCTGGTACTTCTTGTCACCTCTGGATCCTTATTCCACCAAAATACATCCACAGGCCAGGGTAAAATTGTAAAAAAATTTATTCAATAAAAAATAAGTAGTCACCAATTCAGCATAGGATATGGATAATAGAAAAAGAGTCCTATGCGTTTTGTTCTATATAAACTTCCTCAGGGACCACAGTTAAAACAATAACAATGTATCAATTCACACTCCAAAATAAACATATCCTAAAAGACCCCGCTCCCTGCGTCCTTAAATAGGGCTAGTCCCTAAAGTCCATTGGTGGATCCAGTGGGTGTGCAAATCCTCTTTGTTCTTGATTGGAGGAATAGTCCTCCTGTATCAGCTGTCTTTCGCTTTTCAATTTGTGTAGGTTGTAATTCGCACCCTTTTCAGCAGATTCTGGAAGTGATCATCTTTGCCAGAACCGGAAGTGACGTCGCGGGAACGTCCGCGTTCCACATGCGTTCCATCAGCAACATCTCTATGGCAACCGGACGTAATCGTCTTATTTAGAGATCATATGAATCAAAAAGAACTAATTAAAGCCCCACATTTTGCTGAAGATGAAAGTGTTAGTCATACATAATTTTAAACACCCTCATTGATTGTCTGTATATATACAAAATATTACCCGTGTTCACTACTAATCAAATCACGTTATTTATATTAATTCCTACATTAATCAAGTAATTATAATGCCTCAGTGTATTACAATAAAAATAGAAAGCCAAAAAGACTTCATAATATAAAGTGATAATGTGTTGTTTTTTTTTTGTTAGAACTTTATAAAAAAGAACTTTATAAAAATAAACACCATATTTGCTTCATTGTATATCACCCTATATGAAAATATTGAACTAAAAGATTATTTGAAATCACTATTCAGTGTATCTACCACATTCTATTTGTCCTCTCCTTATAAACCTTTAGAGCAAACCTATTTAACACCTTAGGGTAACCCATTATTATGGTTGATCAATAAAAGAATAATGAGTAATAACATGAAAAATAGAAAACGGCAAATAACTGCTTCTCATACAATCCCTGTTTAGTATATCCACCAGATTTTAATTGTACATTCCCTATACACCCTTGAAACAAACCTATTGATTACCTTAGAGCAACTTATTATTGTAATTGATCATTGAAGGAAATAAATCATAACATATAAAGTAAAAGATAACTGCTTTATCTTCAATATATATATAAATCCTCTTTCCAAATGGGGATTAACCCACAACTGTAGAGAAAGCCCCACAATGGAAGCAAACACACATACCTTTATTATCTGAAAAATATGCATATATCAATTCTAAGTCTTGGTTGAACCATGTTAATCTAAAAAACAAATTAAATTTCAGGTGTTGGGGAAT